GATGTTGACATTTTGGGAGAACAGCTCCCCTCCCCACCCCATTTTTTAAGAGAATGCTCCTCATATAAGGTCTGTCTGATGTGTTCCCGAGATTAGACTGAGGTTACACATTTTCAGCCAGAACACTTCATGGTGGTGATGTGTCCTCAGTGCATCACATCTTGAGGAACACGATCTTCTTCTGTCCTTCAGTGATGCTCTTAACTTTGATCATCCAGTCCAAGTATTGTCCAATTTCTCTACTGTATAATTACTATGTATTTTCTCCCTTGCAATTAATAAGCAGTGTAGCACTTTAAAAGCATGTAAATATTCTGCTTCCTCATCAAAACTTCCTGCTATCGGTAGCATCCTAAATGCTAAATCTGATTATTCTTATCTGATTCAATTTTTACTGTGATGGCTGCAAACAGATGATTTTCCAACTTGAGCAGCCCCTCCATATTTACCAATCAGTAATTTTTCTGAAAGCAAAAGTGAACCATTTATCTTAGCTCACTACAGATGCGAAGATTCCCTAAATTAAGATATAATGTTAAAATCTCAGCCAGGTGCATGTGCCTGTAATCCAAGCTACCTGGAAGGCTGAGGTGACAAGGACAGCTTGAGGCCAGGAGTTCAAGGCTGCAGTGTGCTATTACTGTGCCTGTGGATGAACAACCACAACACTTCAGCTTGGGCAATGTAGTGAGACCCTAGCTCTTAAAAAAAAAAAAATCTCATCTTGCATAGTCATTGGTCAATATAGAAAATATCCATTCAAAAAACATTTCCTAACTTTTGCAAAAACAAAGCTGAAGGCAACTATCATCTTTCCAGTATCTTACTTATAAAACAAAGAAAAAAAAAGCACGTCTCTCAAAGTCATATAGTTTCTTTACCAGACATAGCATAATATGTCTCATTCTGCTTTCTTTTCTAGAAAACACAGAATTAAGTTTGGTGTTCAAATGCAGTGACTAATCCATCTCAGGTGTCTGGTAATATTTGTTTCTCTGTCCCTTTATAAAGTTATCTCCAATTCCTTAGGGACGGCAGCAAGGCACATGGGAAGGTATGGAAGGAAAACATTTTTGTGGAAAACATTTAGACAATATATTTATTTCAGATCTATTTTCTGAATAATGTCTTTAAGTTGTATCAACTTAAATTTGTTTGAATGATGATATATTCTTTGGAATTACAAAATGTCTCAAATGAGGTATTCAGTACATTGAGTTCTAATCCTGGCATCCTCTTCAAATGACATGTAAAAAACTATGCAACAGAAAGATATTTATATAAAGCATACACTACCAAACCATTATAATTCTCATACATTTAAATGCCAATGCAAATATCTTGAATGTTAAGATTCAATAGACAGGCTTTTAATTCAAGATGACAGATTAAGCATACAAGTATACCCCGCAAATGGACCCACATCTATATGGAATTCATTTTATAATAAATGTGGCACTTCAAATCAATGGAAAAATATGGAATATATCATGTCAGGACAAATGCCTGATTGTTCATTTGGCTTGTCAATATTGAGGGTTTTGCATGTATATTCAAGGGAAACTGGTTTATGAGTTTCCCTCCCAGTAGTAGGAGTTACATGATTGGGTTACCGAGGTTACTGCAAGACATATTATGTAAATTAAAGATTTATAAAATAAGGCTGGGTGGGCTTACTATTGGTAGAATTCCTTGGAAGCACTGTCTAGGACTCGTACTTTTTGGTGAAGATGTTTAAAAATGATTCGTTTTTCTTTAATGTTAAACGTCTATTCCAGTTTTTCTATCTTCTAGAAAATCTGCCTTTGACCTAGGTTTTCAAATGCATTGATACAAAAGTTATTCACAGTACTTTCTTGTTGTTGCTTTGTCTCTGCTATATGTCCCCCTTTTTGTGCTTAATATTATTTATTTGTACTTTCTTCCTTTTGTGTTGAGCAGTCCCAACAGAAGTCTATTTTATAAACTCTTCAATGGACCAGATTTTGGTTTTACAGATTGTCTCTGTTCTTAATTTTTCTATTTCATTAATTTCTGCTCTCATCTTTATTTTCTCCTTCTTTCAAATTTCTTTAGGATTATTCTACTTGTCTTTTATTAGCTTCTTGGGATAGTTACCTAATTGGCTATATTCCAAAGTTTTTGTTGTTGCTGTTTTTATTTGTATTACAAAACTCATCATCCAGCTTTAAACAATGGCCAACGTTTATTCATTTTACCCATGAACATGTGAATTATTTTAAAGTAAGTCCCAGACATCATTTTATCTCATCCTTAAATTTTGGGTAGTGAGCTCAACTCTGTTGGGGCTTTATCTGTGGGAATTGTATAACACAAAGGTTACTGCTCTAAGCCTCAGTTTACTTAAAGCATAAAATGGGGATAATAATAGACTTATAGTCACATTGAGCAGATAACCTAAAAAGATGCATGTACAGAAATTTGCCAGGCATGGTAAAAGTCTCCAGAAAAGTTAGCTATTGTTACTTAAATAGACATTGAATCCCTTAAGTTACAAGTCTGCAGAGGGAATTAAGGCCCTTATGATACACTAGTATTCATAATGTTCCCTGATATCTGTTTCTCCTAGACAGCAACACTTACTGTAACCATGTATCCTGGTTTTGTTTATTAATTTCTCACTCATAGCCTAATGCTGTAAATACCCAATCATACAAGGTAAATATAATGCAACTCAACAGTAATGTGAAAATACAAACCTTCAAAAGAATGCAGGATTTCATCAAGTCTATGAAAATAATATTAAAGAAAGTGCTCATCTCACAGCTTTAAAACCCTTTGATTCTGGCAGAATCAAACCACTCAACAACTGAAGATAGGACAATTCACTCAACAACTAAAGAAGGATGAAGAAAGAATAATAATTGAGAAAGACGGCCGGGCGCGGTGGCTCACGCCTGTAATCCCAGCACTTTGGGAGGCCGAGGCGGGTGGATCATGAGGTCAAGAGATCGAGACCATCCTGGTCAACATGGTGAAACCCCGTCTCTACTAAAAATACAAAAAATTAGTTGGGCATGGTGGCATGTGCCTGTAATCCCAGCTACTCAGGAGGCTGAGGCAGGAGAATTGCCTGAACCCAGGAGGCGGAGGTTGCGGTGAGCCGAGATCGCGCCACTGCACTCCAGCCTGGGTAACAAGAGCGAAACTCAGTCTCAAAAAATAAAAGAATTGAGAAAGACAATGTTAAAGGGTTAACAAAATATCTTGAGAAACTGTTGAAACCCTCAAGAGTTTTGATAAAACTGATTTAGAAGGCTAGTTTATATAAGAAATGCTAGAAATATCAAACACAAAATGAAGGAAGCTATCAGACAATTATACAATTTTACTGGAAAAATTATGCCAAGAAAATATCACATCATTCTTCGTTAATTCTGAAATTAGCATAGCTGCAACTACAATTTAAATTCTGATAAACATTTTGTAAAATAATATACATATAGTAAAATGTTTATAGTAAAATGTTTTCATTCCTGAATACTGTCCCTAACAAATCTTTTTCATTAATAATGAATAAATTTTATCTCTATTTTTAGTAGCTTTACTTTTAAGAGGTATTTTCCAAATACTAATTTTCTCAATTAGGAATTTCTCTTAAGTATATATTCCTAACAAGGAAAAAACCTATTATCTAAATCGCTAACACTGATTATAACTGGGAGAGCAGGAACTGAAAGAGAAAAAAGTTAGAAAAATGATTATCTTTTTATACAGCATATGCTACAGTATTGTTTAAATTTGTTACAAAAAGAACATGCAGTATTCTTGTAATTAAAACAAAATCACTAAAATTTAAAGATATGCTTCTGTTTGGCATAATAGGACATTACTATAAATGTGTAAGAGAAAGCAAAGGCAATTAATATTGATAAGTAAATATTTATTGGATAAAACTTCTGTAAGCAGGAAAATGAGAGGACAAAAGAAGAAACTCTTTAATATACTTGACAGAAAAACGAAACGAGGCCGGGCGCGGTGGCTCAAGCCTGTAATCCCAGCACTTTGGGAGGCCGAGGCGGGTGGATCACAAGGTCAAGAGATCGAGACCATCTTGGTCAACATGGTGAAACCCCGTCTCTACTAAAAATACAAAAAAATAGCTGGGCATGGTGGTGTGTGCCTGTAATCCCAGCTACTCAGGAGGCTGAGGCAGGAGAATTGCCTGAACCCAGGAGGCGGAGGTTGCAGTGAGCCGAGATCGCGCCATTGCACTCCAGCCTGGGTAACAAGAGCGAAACTCCGTCTCAAAAAAAAAAAAAAAAAAAAAAAGAAAAACGAAACGAGCAGCATATAAATTACTCCATGTTGGAAAGATACTCTCAAATGTTGCAGAATGCTGAGCAACCTCTACTTTTTAGTTTAAGAATGATCTAGGACTGTACTGTCCAATTAGTCACGAGTAGCTATCAAGCACTTGAAGTGTAGTTAGTCTAAACTGAGATGTGCTGCGCATATAAAATACACTTGGATTTCAAACACTTGGTACAAAAAAAATGCAAAAGGTCTATTATTTTATACTGATTATATGTTAAAATGATACTACTTTGGATATACTGCAATAAATAAAACATAAAAATTAACTTCATTTATTTTTGTATTTTTTAAAGTGATTTCTAAAGAATTTAGAATTACATATTCGCGGTCCACGTTAAATAATTCTAATGGGTTAGCACTGGTCTAAGATTTTGCCATATCCCAAATGCCACAAGGACAAATATAATCTGCTTTTCTCCTTCTGTTTTGTTGGCTTCAGCAGCATGGGAACACATTAAATCAGGAAATCAACTAAAGCATGAATGTACAGATAAGCTTATCTGCATACAAACAAACACTTTAGTTCATAATGATTTTTTTTAAAGATCCAAAGAAGTAAAGTCTACTCACGTTACATAAATCAGAAAACAAAACCAATTCGACAACAATCTGAGAGGTAAAAATCAGCCCCAACAAATTTAGGAGCATTTTCCCCAACTTACCTTTTTCTTTTTTCCCGAAAATACATGCTTTTTATGTATGTTTGAAACTGTGGAAGGCTCTAGATTTCAAATCATTTCTTTCCATTTCCTTGGTTTCACTATACTATCAAGAATATTCTTTATTCTCACTGGTCTACTTACAAACTGGCAATACTAAGAGATGCCATGGTCCTTCCATTCGGCAGTATATATGTCCATTTGTAAAGGGACAGAAGTACCTTAAAGGCAAATTTAGTATGTCTGTAATTAAGTGTAATATTAAAAATTATATTAAGTGATACAAGTAAACTATAAGATTTCTGGGCACTAAGATAATTATATATTTTTAAGTTCTAGCCATCCTCTCAAAAAAAAATTCACTGCTCTCTTCTCCCCAATTTCATAGTTTGGTGAACAGTATCACTGTCAACCCAGTTGTTCAAGCCAAAACCCAGGAAGTCACTATCTCTGGCATTTCAATCAATTACCAAGTCCTATTCATCTACCTCTACACTGTTTCCAGTGACTTTCTAAAATACCAATCAGATTCTCCTGTTCATTTCTCTGTTCAAAATTCTTCAGTGGCTTTTCACACACAAGCTTTAAAGTATCCTGCATAACAAATACAGTACTACATAATTTAGCTCCATTACCACCCTCAAAACCTCCTATCTGTCCAGTCTCATCTCTAACTCCTCCTAATTTCAGACTTCATATTCCATCAACTCCAACTTCTCTGGTAGTACTAGACACATGCCCAGCCGACCTCTCATACCTCTGTGGTTTGAAGCATACTATTTTCTCAGTTGGGTGCTTGCCTGATAGTCTCCTATTTATCCCTCAAGTCTCACGTGAAAGGTTACCTTTTCTCTAACTTCATTACTGACTCTCCTTGATATTCTAAGGTATTTCCTATAAGTTTTCACTAGACACCCATCTTTACATACATACACTTTCACTAAAGCAATGATCATACTGCTTTATAGTTACTTGTTTGCACATCTGCCTCTCTTCTTCAGTGTACAGTTAGTATGTTTTCATCCACAATACCATAGCACTTCATTTGGCACTAAATAAATGTCCTTTACTTATTTATATCACTAAATAAATATTCATTCATTCCACAAATATTTACTGAGTATGTGCCAAGTCCCATCTTAGGCACTGGGAACACAGTAATGAACAAAGCTCCTGGCTTCATGAAGCTTACTGGTGAAGACTATCAACCAACAAACATTTAAACATATCCTATAATGTATAAGGTTACACAGTAAAATGGAGTAGAGATGAAAATACAGAGTGTGATGGGGTGTGTGGCTATTTTAGAAGGGAAGACCATGTTGTAAAGAGAGAAGACCACTCTGAGGAGTGACCTGAGCTGATGCTTAAACTAAGTCAGAGAGACCTATAAATTATCAGGAAAAAGAGAAATCCAGGAAAAAGGAAGAACATGTGTAAAAGCTCCAGGGCAGGACAAGTTTGGCATGGACAAGAAGTAACAGGAAAACAAGTGTGGTATCAGCAGAGTAAGAAAGGGTGAAGAGGCCGGGCGTGGTGGCTCATGCCTGTAATCTCAGCACTTTGGGAGGCCAAGGCAGGCAGATCATTTGAGGTCAGGAGTTCAAGACCAGCCTGGCCAACATGGTGAAACCCTGTCTTTAAATAAATAAATAAAAAGAAGGGGTGAAGAGGCCAGGCATGGTGGCTCGCGTCTGTAATCCCAGCAATTTGGGAGGCTGAGGCAGGCAGATCACCTGAGGTCTGGAGTTCAAGACCAGCCTGTCTAACATGGGGAAACCTCTTCTCTACTAAAAATAACAAAAATTAGCCAGGTGTGGTGACACATGCCTGTAATCCTAGCTACTTGGGAGACTGAGGCAGGAGAATCGCTTGAACCTGGAAGCAGAGGTTGCAGTGAGCCAAGATGAGATTGCACCACTGCACTCCAGCCTGGGCGACAGAGTGAGACCCTGTCTCATGAAAGACAGAAAGAAGAAAAAAAAAAAAAAGGCAAAGAAGGGGCAGAGAAGTCAGTAAGACAGCTAAGGGCCAGAATGAGTAGTGGTTTGTAGGTTATAGCAAGAGCTTTGGATTTTATTTTCAGAGTGTTGGGAAGTTATTGGAAGGTTTCAACAAGAGAGTAACATGATCTGACTTACTTTTGCTAAAGATTATCCTAGCTAATATGTGAGTACAGGGGAGCAAAAGTAGAAGAAGGAAACCTGTTAGGAAGTCATTGCAGCACATCTAGGGTGGTAGTAGAGGAGGTCATAAGAAGTGGTCAGATTAATCATAGAATCTGAAAGCAAAGCTAACAAAACTTGATGGACTGACTATACGGGATGTGAAAGGAAGAGAGAAGAAACTCCTTCTCTACAAAAAATACAAAAATTAGTGGACATGGTTGTGTGCACCTATAGTCCCAGCTACTCAGGAGGTTGAGGTTGAACAGTTGAACCCAGTAGGCTGAGGCTTCAGTGAGCTGTGATTGTGCCACTGCATTCCAGCCTGGGCAACAGAGCAAGATCCTACCTCAAACAGACAGACAGACAGATAAACGCTGTTGAAAGGTCAAGTAGAACAAACTGAGAATTGCTAGTGGATTTAGCAGGATAGGGTTGTTGGTAAACTGGAATGGCTTCATGGAATTGGGGAGATAAATAACCCACTGAAATAGTCTTCATTAGAAATGCAAGGGTAGTACTAAGTAGAATATAATATTTTGCACTGCTCTATTATTCACCACATAACAATTAAAGCACCTTGAGAGTTAGTATTTATACATAAATAATGCTCACATTTTCAAAATCTTCCTTAAAAGCTATTCTTGACTTAGCAAAAAGTTCAGTATTAAAGCCCATACAAAATCAGTTCTCTGGTCATTTGAATTCAGTCTGCGGAACACATAAACCCTGCTTCTTTAGCAACAGCCAGTATACAGCTTTGGAGTACTGGCTGACTTTGTGATGTAATAGTTAATACTCACTGATGAATTTGTATACAGTGCTCAGTGTTCTGATGACAAAACTAGATACAAAGTCAAATACAAAGTTCTTTTTCTTGGTCACTACAGAAGAATGAGATCTTCAAGTAAAAAAAAAGATGGGGTTTAACAGGGTACAGTTTTAAAGATAATGGCTGGCTCAAAAGATCTACAATGGAAGTTATAATCTAGTTTTAGGAAAAGATTTAGTAATATAAATATAACCAAAAAAGGGGGGTTTGTTTGTATTTTAATACAAAACGATTTTACAATAAACCTGAAAGCAAAAACTAAAAATCTGTATTCTCCTTCCAGAGAAAACCACTGATAACATTTTGTTTTGTATGCTTATAGACCCTCTGTAGGTTTTCTGTAGTAAAAAACTAACAAAACTTACCTCAACAATTTTCAAGTGTGTAACACAATATTTTAACTATATGCACACTCTTGTATGACAGATCACCAGAACATTTTCATCTCATGTGACAGAAATTCTATACTGACAGAACAACAAGTCCTTGTTTCCTTAGCAAATACCATTCTAGTTTCTGTTTCTATGAGTTTAATTCCTTTAGATACCTCATATTACGGAAATTATACAAGTATTCATCTTTTTGTGATTGGCTTGTTTCACTTAGCAAAATGTCCTAAAGGTTCAACCATGAGGCAGCGTGACAGGAGGAATTCCTTCATTCTAAGGTTGGATGATACTCCGTTGTACATATATACAATATTTTCTTTATCCATTCATCCACGGATGGACACTTAGGTTGCTTCCACATATTGGTTGTTGTGAATAACGCTGCACTCAACAGGGGAGTACAGATGTCTCTTTAACATCCTAATCTCATTCTCTTTGAATATATACCCAGTAGTGGGACTGCTGGATCATATGACAGTTCTATTTTCAGTTTTAGGAAGAACTTCCATACTTCCTCCTATGTTTTCCATAGGAGGGTGTGGCATTGTACAATCCTACCAACAGTGTGCAAGGGTTCCAATTCTTCTACATCCTTGTCAACACTTGTTATCTCCTGTTTTTTTCTTTGATAGTGGCTATCTTAACAGGTCTGAGATGATATCTCATTGTGGTTTTGATTTGCCTAATGATTATTATGTAGAGTATCTTTTTACATGCCTGCTTCCCATCCATGTATCTTCTTTGGAGAAATGTCTATTTAGGTTCTGCCCATTTTTTATCCAGATCATTTGTTAGAGTTGTATATTCTGAATAGTAACCCCTTGTCTAATATATGGTTTCCAAATATCATCTCCTATTCCTTAGGCTATGTTTTCGCTCTGATGATTGCTTTATTTGCTGTATAGAAGATTTTAATTTGGATGTATGTTTTTTACTTTTTTAGTTTTTAAGTTGGATGTACATGTTTTTGCTTTTGTTACTTGTGCTTTTGATGTCATATTCAAGAAACCACTGCTAATTCCACTATCATGAAGTTTTTCCTGTTTTCTTCTATGACTTTCACAGTCTCAGTTCTTATTTTTAATCCATTTTTAATTAAATTTTGTATATGGTACACTTTCATTCTTTTGCATGTGGATATCCAGTTTTCCAAACAGGATTTGTTGAAGAAACTACCCTTTTTCCGTTTTGTAATCTTGGTACACTCAACAAAGATCATTTGACTATATATATGTGGGTTTATTTCTGGGCTCTCTAGTCTGTGCCATAGGTCTATATGTCTGTTTTTATGCCAGCACCACATTGTTTTAATTATTATAGCTTTGTAATATATTTTGGAATCAGGAAGTGTGAGGCCTCCAGCTTTGCTGTTCTTTCTCAAGACTGCTTTGGTTATTTGAGCTCCTTTGAGATTACATATGAATTTCACAGTGGTTTTATCTGTTTCTGCAAAAAACACCACACAGATTTTGACAGAGATTGCACTGACTCTGTAGATTGCTTTGGACAGTATGGACATTTTCACAATATTAAGTCTTCTAATCCACAACAGTACTGCATCAATATTCATCAGGAATATTGGTCTTCTTGTTCAGACTGAGCAGCCCTAATCTGAGAATCCTAAATCCAAAATGTTCCAAATCCAAAACTTTCTGAGGGCTGATAGTACTCAAAGGTCATACTCAAAGGAAATGCTCATTGAAGCATTCTGAATTTTGGATTTTTGGAGTACAGATGCTCGACCAGTACTATTTGTCTGGCTTTAGTTCCAGGATAATAATACCAAATGCATGTCTTTCCATTTATTTTTATCTTTAATTTCTTTCAGCAATGTTTTGTAGTTTCCAATGTGTAAGTCTTTTTCCCCCTAAGTTTACTCAGTCATTTTATTCTTTGTGATGCTACTGTAAATGAGATTCTCTTCCTTTCCTTAATTGTTAGTACACAGAAACACAATTTTGTATTCTGCAACTTGGCTGAAATTGTTTATTAGTTCTAACAGTTTGGTTTTGTTTTTTTTTTTTAATCTTTAAGGTTTTACACATGTAAAACCAAGTCATCTGTGATTAGGGATAATTCTACTTCCTCCTTTCCAATTTGGATGCTTTTTATTTCTTTTCCTTGTCAAACTGCTCTAGCTAGGATTTCTATTACAATGTTGAAAAAAGTGATGAGTGAGCATCCTTGTCTTGCTCCTGATTTTAGGTGAAAACTTCATTTTTCACTAATAATTATGTTAGCTGTGAGCTTTTCAAATATTACCTTCATAATGTTGAGATAATTTCCTTCCATTCCTTGCATGTTGAGTGTTTTTATCATAAATAGGTATGCTTTTTTTGTCAGTGCTTTTACTGAATCAACTAACATGATGTGATTTTTGTCCTCAATTGTTAATATGGTATATATTCTATATTTATTAATTTTCATATGTTGAGCCATTCTTGCATCCCAGAGATAAACTCCACTTGGTCATGGTGTAAGATCTTTTAATGTATTATTGAATTCATTTTGCTCATATTTTGTTGAAGATGTTTACAATATTCATCAGAGATACTGGCCTGTAGTTTTCTTATAGTATTTCTGGCTTTGGTATCAGAGTAATGCTGACCCATTAAATGAGTTTGGAAGTATTCCTTCCTCTTCCACTTCCTGGAAGAGTTTAAGAATAATTGGTGTCAATTCTCCTTTAAATGTTTGGTAGAATTCCCCAATGACACCATGCAGGCCTGAGCTTTTCTTCGCTAGATTTTCGATTGAACTTCCTTACTGCTTATGGGTCTGCTCAGATTTTCTATTTCTTCATTATTTGGTCTTGGTATGTTTCCAGAAATCTATCAGTTACAGGTTAGCTAATATGATGGCATATCATTGTTCATAATAGACACTTTGATCCTTTGTATTTCTGTGGCATCAGTTGCAATGTCTCCTTTTTCATTTCTGACTTTAGTTGAGTCAGTCTACTCTCTTTTTCTGCAGCCTAGCTAAGGGTTTGTCAACTTTATTGATCTTACAATCTTTTCAAAATATCAACTATTAGTTTCTTAAATTTTTTCTATTATTTTTCCTATGTTGTTTATTTCTGCTTTATATTATTTCCAAGACCCTATATTTTTTTTGGAAAACTTTGCAAGTTTTACTTAAAAGCACAGGTTCCTAAGCCAGTTTTTTCCAATTTATTTTCCTGCATTCCACAGTAAAAAAAAAAGCATTTCACAGTAAACAGACTCATACACATATGTGACTTAAAAAAAAGTCCAGGCCGAATGGAGTGGCTCACACCTGTAATCACAACACTTCGGGAGGCCAAGGCAGGCAGATCACCTGAGGTCAGGAATTCGAGACCAGCTTGGCTAACATGGCGAAACCCCCGTCTCTACTAAAAATACAAAAATTAGCCGGGCATGGTGTCAGGCACCTGTAATCCCAGTTCCTTGGAAGGCTGAGGCAGGAGAATCGCTCGAACCCAGGAGGTGGAGATTGCAGTGAGTCTAGATCATGCCACTGCACTCCAGCCTGTGCAATAGAGTGAGACTCTGTCTCAAAAAAAAGTAGTCCATAAAATACTTACCCTTAATATATGCACTGCTCTTACTTTTAATCTATAATTCTTCACTTTTTAAAAATTTAAGGCTTTTAAAATTCTTATAATTTAAAACCAATTTATTCACTAAGTTGATTTCACTTGAATAAAAGTTTAAAAATATTAAGTTTTAAAATACTATCCTAAACAGTATATTCAACATCAGAAATGTATACAACAGGCATAGAAAACATTATCTGTTTCAAATAATTTGTAATTCTTGTTGTGGAGCAAGGTAAAAGAGAAAACATGAGTAAAAATTGGAAGATTATTCTTTGGCAAAATAAAATTAGGATAAGAAAATAATAAAATTGAAAATACACCCAGTACTTTCTACACTTTCAAAGTCTTCCCACTTCCAATGTCAATCACAAGCACAGTACAACTGGCCTTCCATATCCGTGAGTTCCATATCTATGGATTCAACCAACCCACAGATGGAAAATATTCAGTTAAAAAAATTGTGTCTGTACTGAACATGTACAGATTTTTGCTTGTTATTATTCCCTCAACAATACAGTCCAACAAATATTTACCTAGCATTTATATTGTATTAGGTATTGTAAGTAATCTAGAGATGATATAAAGTATAAAGGAGGCTATATATAGGTTATATGCAAATACTGCCATTTTATACCAGAGACTTCATCCTCAAATTGTGGTATCCAAGGAAGGTCTTGGAACCAATTCCTCAGGGACACTGAGGGTCAACTGCATTTACAAATAAGAAACCAAGAAATGTCCTTCTCCTGCATAGGAGCTTCACTTCAAAACATATTCAACACATACAATAGCCAAGAGGCACTGTGTGTGATATAATAACATAAAAAATTATACTTGGAGAGCTGAGAAATGGCTTCATATTCTAAAAACTATAAAATCTGCTAATGAACCACAACTGATCCTGCTGTAGTTTTCTTAATGCATCCTTCCGTAAATGCACTTGCACTAGTTATTATAATACAATGATCTATTTCACACTTGAAAACACAAAATAATTCCTATATCTGCTTGGAGAGTCATTCTTACTTCTATTCAAACCAAGTTACACAAAATATACATTACAATTTAACAGAATAAGACAATAATTTCTAAAATTAAAGTCTACAGTGAAAGAAAGTACTCTACAGATCTTCTTTCTAACATATCTGGACTAAAGAAAAATAAGCTTTTAACCCAGGGAGAAACTCATTGAGAGACCTCACATAGATAGACCATACTAAAAGGTGTGTAAGAAACAGAATCACTAGCAGGGAGCAGAATGAAAAGTCAAACAGCTCTATTCAAACTGCCAAACTGTGCCATGTATATGGTGATGTCTTCTTCATTGTGAAAGTCTATCCTCACCCCATATGCAATGCACAGCTGTACTACAACCTCCAGATCACTGTTTTTCTTTAGTAGAGTATCTGATTTTGTTGCTTCTTTCTCTTCACCATCTGTCACTTATTGCTACTTTGGGTCTATCTATTTCTCTTAACCTAAAGAGCACTGCAAATTCCAAGGTGTCCAAATTACATACAAAGTAACAATAAAAGGCTTCTAAGTAAGGATCTGAGGTGTTTCCTAATTGAGCGAAGTATATGAACTTTAACACATGAACTTTATATTTTGGCCACTTACCATATCTTATTTGCTCATCTGCCAAATAAGTTGACTTAACTCACTTGACTATTTTATGTTCAAAATAGTAACATCTCATTTGATTCTCCCAACAACCCTATGAAGTGGAAGGATTACTAGTCCAATTCTACAAATGAGAAAACTGAAGTAACGAAGGTGTTAAATTATGTGTCCACCAAGGCCAAAGGACTAGAATATGGCTGAAGATTATCTAGATCCTAATCTAGATGCTCTGAGATCAATGTCTGTGCTCATAAATGCCTATGGCAATATGAATATATCAATGTGGTTAGTATTCCCCACTTAAATAACTTTAACAATCTTATGGGAAAAAAATACAGAAATAACTATCTCAATTACTTGATGTCTAGGAGATAAGAAGCCCTAATTGCCTTCTTCAATTCTCCAAAAGCTACTCTGAAAGACCTAACTGAGGCAAAGAAATGAAAAGCCAAACAAACACCAATGGGTCAACAAAGCTGATGGGAAGTTTTCAAGGGTCTAGCCTTATTATCTAGCATTACACTGAGCCTATCCTACAGTGGATCCAAACAAGACTCTCCCCATTGCCACTTCAAGACTTACTTGCCAAGGATGACTCAGGGCTGTTCCTTTTGAGACGTAGTTCTAAGTGATCTCTGAATGCCTACAGAATATTTGTACATTTTAGCTTTCAATAAATATTCCTTGAGTAAATGTGGGGTGGGTATTCCATGTTCTCTGCTGCCACACCAAACTGTAAGCTTTTCTGACTCCCCATCATACCTACAGCTCCCTGAAAGCAAGAAATAACTTATTATTTTTAGAGTCTCATACCCAGCACCATTCCTGGCACATATGACATTCAATAAACGTTTGGTAAATAAATGAGCACAAAAGCAAATGTGCCTGGCACAAAGCAGTATCAATTCAGATGTTTCTTAATTTGAGGTTGTGATTGATTGTGTGTGTGTGTGTGTGTGTGTGTGTGTAAAAGGTATGTGTATTCTTGAACGAAGTTGAGAATTCTTTTGGCCAGGTACAGTGGATCCTGCCTGTAACCCAAGGACTTGTGGGAGGATCACATAAGTCCGGGAGTTTGCAACCAGCCTGGGAAACATAGCAAGAATCTATCTCTACAAAAAAAATTTTTAATTAGCTGGGCATGGTGGCATATGTCTATAGTCCTAGCTACTTAGGAGGCTGAGGTAGGAGGATCACTTCAGCCTAGGAGTTTGAGGTTACAGTGAACTAAGACCAAGTCAATGCACTCTATCCTGGGCAACAGAAGGAGGCTTAATTTCTTAAAAGAAAAAAAAAAAAAAAAAAAAAGGAAACAAACAAATGTTATATTTTATCTTTGGACTCAACTCACTAGCTATTTCCTACTAAAGCAAATCTTTCTCGATTTATATATATGATACATATATATTTACAGAAAGAGACCTTATGTGCAAACTAATGGTAACAGCAAATTGAACTAGAGCCAGATGTAAGCCCCCCATCCAATAGCTACTTCATTCTTGTAAACCATAATTTCCTGCCCCCATCAAAGAAATGATACTCTGTATTTTTAAAGTACTAGCCATTTTTACAGATGGGAACTATGTAGACATAATCCAATTATAAGAAATGATTAAGAGACGTAAGACTATGACTGTTTCTTAGATTATAAAAACCTTATACAGGCTGATATGCCTTAATCTGAAAATCTGCAACCCAAAATGCTCCCAAATCCAAAACTTTCTGATCACTGACATAACACTCAAAGGAAATGCATGTTGGAGCATTTCAGATTTCAAATTTTCAGGTTAGGAATGCTCAAATGTTAAATATAATGCAAATATTCAAAAAAATTTTTAAATTCAAAATAAAAATCACTTCTGGTCCCAAACATTTCAGATAAGGGCTACTCAACCTGCAGCATGTTGGATTTAACAAACTCTACATGGCAATATAATTTAAATTTGTACCCTACAAAATGAATGAAGCACTGGGCTAAAAGTGCTTGTATACAGCATCTCTCTTAACCTTTGCAACAACTCTTCAAGGTGTATATAACTGTTACCACCATTTTACAGGATGAATAAATGAATACTCAAGGTTGTACATCTAGCTAGTAAGTATAGAAACCAGAATATATACCCAGCTTTGACTAATATCTGAGTTATTAGCTACTCACAACTCTATCACAGTATACCCTCAATCAAAGCAAAAATTTTCTAAATCATAACTGCATAACTCTAACATTGTAATAACATACTTGCTTTTAACTATATCATTCCGAGAAGGAAAACTTACTGCCTTCATAAGCTCCACACTTACTTTCCCACCTTAACCACTGAAATCTTGAATCATATGAGGGCTATTTATCACTAATATCCTTTTTCTGAAAATCATACTTTGCCCCTCCACTGCCATGAAAAACACCGTTGGCACCCACAGCAATGCTCTGTATAAAATTTGCCATAGCTATTAGTGGCAATGATCACTACCTTAGGTGACTCTGGAGTCTCAGAAGACTTGAACACTCTAACAGAAGTTCTAATGGTTTACGTAAGATCCACCACACCAAATGCTGAGTAAAACAATCTAGAAAAAAAAAAATTACATGATTAAATATAGTTAAATGTCTCTCTACATGGAACAGCTATTTGAGAAGATCAATTGTATGCTATTTTTGTTCCAAAAGAGCAAGGTTTGCAGATTTTATTTATTTATATACCAATAGGCTAAACATCAAAACTGAAGAAACCAAATTGTCCTGTTTTTCTCAACATTCGAAGACAATCAGGCAAGAGAAGTTCATTCACCATAACTTACATATTAAGATATTTTTTTCCTTTTCCCTTTTTCTGACTTACCTCCATGGCCTCAATGAATTTCGGGCCATACATACATAAATGGTAATTAACAAAGTAAACCAAGGGTCCTTTCTTCTACTCTCCCTCTGAAGAAAGGAAGGAAACTCAGAGGTTCTATAGAAACATACCAAGATTTCTACTGGATACATTCCAAGTCTTCCCTCTTCCTCACTCTGTATTCAATCAATGGAGAAGTTCCATTAATCTTTATACCTGAGTATCTCTTTAATTTGCCTGGTTGTCCCTATCTCTAACATCACTACTCCAGGTTAAACCAACACATACAAATGCCTGGATTACTAAGGTAACCTATCTAACTAGTCTTGGTGACTGCTTTGCTTCTTTCCATTCATTCTTCACCTTCCAGCCAAAATGGACTCTTTCAAAACCATGAACTACTCAGATGTCACCCTCCCTAAAGTCTTTCAATGACTTTTTATCATTTTCATGATAAAATCATAGCTTAACATGGCTTAGAAGACTCTAACCTGGCTCCAATCAATTTCTCCAGTCTTACGTTTGGTCACTTCTGTCTTCATATGCTTTATAGCCCCATGGCTCTTCTTTCAGATTTCCAAACTCTTCACATTGGTTTTGTGGGGTTTTTATTTGTTCTGCATCTTAGCTACTGCACAATCTCTTCCCTTCACCTACTCTACTTCCCCACAGCCTCAAATTTAACCTAATTCCTATGTAACCTATTTAGATCTGTATCACAGCTCTTTCTCTGAGAAGCCTTACCTAATCATTCCAGATAAGACTGGGTGCCTCCTTCCATATACCTCTCCTACTACAGCTTCTTATCATTACTTTAGTATAATTACTTCTTTAACTATCCAGTCTTCCTCATTAAACTATATTTTCATTAGAGAAGGGATTATTACGGGTACTTACCCACCCCTCCATACCCCAACACTCAGCACAGTGCCTACACACATAGTACAGACATGACTTTTTTCTAATTGAATAAGTGCACAAACAAAAATGAAAATCTGGAGGAAAAAACTGAAAGGAACAGATTTAAAAGATATTTTAACCATCAAAAATTCCATATCAATACACATCCTCAATAAATAAATGGGACTTCTAGATTCTGCTTAGAATGTAGAAAGCTAGAAAGAATGTCATTTCACCCTTCAAACAAAGTAAAAGATGAATATTGTGCAAAATCACAAATTTTCTTGAACCCAGCACAAAAGTAGGGCAACCTTAAATCTAAGTAACTAATCTAAAATCTAAGGAAAGACAAGATTTTAAAGGGAGAGATGGGACATGAGTACTTTACCTGTAGTCAATATCAGACACCATACAAGCCAATAAAAACTTGGTTAAAACTTTTTAAAAAAATTACTACAAGCCAAACGTGAACCTGCAGCTAGGGGAAGTAAACAAAACAAACAAACAAAAAAAAACCCTTGACCCCCCCTTAAAGAAGAGGCAGGATCTCTGAAAAAGCCCCATACCTGAGACCCAGAAAAAAAAAACAAAAACACCTAGCTAAAACTGAGACTAGAAAAATCCAACGTAAAATGTCCTCCCTATCCTCCAACCAAAAGGAGACTAGCAAGCCTCAAACAACATGTAACAGCAATGTACTACAGTCATGTGTCACAAAATGACAGGGATACAGCCTGAGAAATGCATCATTAGATGATTTTACTGTGAGAACATCACAGAATATACTTACACAAAGACAGGATAGCCTGGCTATAAACCTGTACAGCATGTTACTGTACTGAATACTATAGGCAACTGCAACACAATCGTAAATATTTTATCTAAACATAAAAGGAAGGGTCCAGTTAAAATATGGTATTATAATCTTAGGGGACCGTCATCGTATATGCAGTCTGCTGCTGACCAAAACATGGTTATGTGACGCATGACTGTTCGTGAGCAAAGAGCTAAAGAATGGAGAAATACCTTCTCTGAGAGGCAAGTTCAAAGGGAAGACCTAAGCCTAAGGGTGGAGCAGACATTAAGAAAAAGTCTGGCAAACTAAATCCAACCCTAAACACAAAGTAATGCTAGAGAATCTTGAAGCCTGTGGTAAATTAAAGGTAAACTAGCAACAACAAAAACCCTCAACATTACTCCCCACCACACACACACACACACACACACACACACACACACACATCTCAGGAAAAGACAAAGAATGTCCATTTCCAGGCATAAGTACTATTTAACTGGTTCTCTATACAAAATGTCCAGATTTCAACAACAACAACAACAACAACAACAACAACAACAACAACAAAAAGGAGCAAAGAAAAAAACAAAACAAAACACAAAACTGCACTGTCAAGAGACAAAGCAATCAACAGAACCAGATTCGAATACAACCATCATGTTAGAACTATCAAACATGGAATTTATATATTAAATGCTGCAACGAAATATGTAGATAACATGCATACACATATATGTAATTTAAGCAGAGGGATGGAAACAGTAAGAAGAAATCAAATGGAAATGCTAGAAATAAAAATGTAGTAACAGAGATTAAAGCCTTCAACAACCTTATCAGTAGACCAAGACAATCACACAATCAGTAAAGACATCAACAGAAACTACTCCAACAAAACATGACAAGAGAATGAAAAACAGAACACCCAAGTGCTATGGGACAATATAAAATACTCCAGCATATGTGTAACTGGAATTCCAGAAAGAAAGATAAGACAAACAAAATATAAAGAGATAATAACAAAAATTTTTCAAAATTAATAAAGTACATCAAACAACTCCAAGAAGCTCACAGAACACTAAGATGCATCAAATAAACAAACAACAACAAAAATCCACAATTAGACACATCATATTCAAACTGAGGGAAAAAAATAAATGATAAAGAGAAAACCTTGAAGCCTGCCAGAGTTAAAAAAAAAAAAAAATGGTACAACATCGTGGAACAGAGTAAGACCTTTCAGAAACTATGCAAACCAGACACCATTAAAGTGCTGAAAGAAAAAACTGTCAATGCAGAAATCTATATCCACGAAAATATCTTTCAAATTGAAGAAGAAATAAAAAATGTTCAGGCAAAATATAATTCACATAACAAAACACTAACAAAAATAAAATACGTGATTATCTCAAGAGATGTACTTAAAATATTTGGCAAAATTCAACATCCATTCAGTCAACTAGGAATAGAACTTCCTCATGCTGATAAATCGCATCTACAAAAAACAAAGCAAAGCAATAAAAACCCACAGCTTATATTATACTTGACGAAAAACCAATGCTTTCCCCCATAAGATGCAAAAACAAAGACGATCACACTTGCCACTTCTATTTGACATTAAAATAGAGGTTTTAGCCAGTGCAGCAAGGGAGAAAAAAATATAAAAGACATCCAGATTAGATGAAAGAAGTAATACTGTCGTTATCTGTAGACAACATAATCTTCTGCATAGAAATCTCATAGAATCTATAACAAAGCTACTAGAACTAAGTAAGTTGAGCAAGGTCATGAGGATACAAGCAGTTCTATATGTTAGCAGTGGAAAAAAAAACGGAAAATGGAAGAGTATCATTTACATTAGCACCCCAAAACATGAAATGCTTAGTCATAAATCTAACAGAGTATGTGTAGAATCTATGCTGAAAACTAAAATACATTGATAAATGACATCAAAAATCTAAAGACAGATCATAAATGAGACGCTTCAATATTTAAGATATCAATTCTCCCCAAAATGATCTTCAGAATTAAATCAGAATCAATCCAGAAGGACATCCTACAGAAATTAAGAAGCTAATTCTAAAATGAATAGGAAGAGGCATAGGAACTGGAATCGCCAAAATAACTTTGAAAAGGGACAAAGGTGGAGACCTCACACTACCCGACTTCAAGTTTACTATAAAGCTACAATAATCAGGTAAGTGTCATATTGGAGAAAGGGTAAATACATAGATGAATGAAATGCAGTAAGAGTCCAGAAATAAGACTCACACTTATATCAACAATTGATTTTCAAGAAAGGTATAAAGGAAATTCTATGAAAAAGAGAGCTTTTCCAAAAAATGGTACCGAAATAAGTGGAAATTCATTTGCAACAACAAAAACTGTATCCATACCTCATACCATATACAAAAACTAACAAAATGACTCACCTATCTGAAATGTAAACCTAAAATTTTAACACTTCTATCAGTAAATATGGAAAAAATTCTTTGTGATTTTTGGTTTTGCAAAGGTTTCTTAAATATAACATCAAAAGCATGAGCCATAAAATAAAATAATGTAAAAATCAATAAGCTCAACTTCGTCAACAATCAAACTTCTGCTCTTCAAAGACATATAAGAGAATAGAAAACAAGCCATAAACTATGAGAAAATATTTGCAAATCACATCTATGATAAAGAACTTTCATCCAGAATCTCAAAACTCAGTGCCAAAAAAACAACAAAATAATTTGAATAATATTTCACCAAAGATATAAGGATGGCAAAAAAGATGCTCAAAATCATTTACCATTAGAGATACACAATTCCATTTACACAACATTCTGGAAAATACAAAACTATGGAGACAGAAAACATGCCACTGGTTGCCAAAAGCTTGGGATCAAGTAAGCGGCTGACTATAAAGTGACAAGGTAATTTTTTGCATTGATGAAACTGCTCTCTCGGCATTTTAATTGCATGGGAGTTACAAAAGTGTATGTTTGTCAAAATTCACAAAATGTACTCTATGAAAGGTGAATTCTGCCACATATAATCTTAAGTTTTTTAATGAAAAAAATGACATCTCTTTAAAATTCCTGCCAAAATACAGCTGACAGCACTGATTCTTTAATTTTTTTAATTTCTGGTTCTTGGCTTTAAAATATACCTATCTAGTAGCCAGTGAATAATCAGTATAGCCTTGAAGTTATCTGTAAGACTCAAGATTCTTAAGTCTTGAGGCTATAGTCTTTCCCAATTTAATTCTGCAGTTATTACTTAAGACTTCATTGACTTACTCAACTTTGCACAAGTTAACGATGAGAAACTTGGTCTCTTTTGACTGTCAACTCCATCATCTCCTCCATATATGACCAAACTACACAATCCTTTGCACTGCACTCAGGCAGATATACAAAACTATATTTTTAATTTGAATGGTTTTATTTTGAACTATAGAAAAAAAGAGGGCTCTGAGAATTCTGAAGTACTTTGGTAATTACAAATAACATTAGGCACTTCAATATGTAAGAATTTTTTCTAAAATGCATTTCTTCCCAAACTTTCTCATTCAAAAGCTTAGGTTCACCAGAGCATACAATATATAAACTAAGCTCACCTTGCATTCAAGATTTTCCATGATTTGGTGTCAATCTACTATTTCAATAATATTTCTATCATTCTCAGACACAAATTCTCCATTCTGGGAACGATGGCCTCCTTGTCTACTCCTTCCAACTTCTGAAATGCCCTCCCTGATAATGTCTAATGCCCTCCTTAAACGAGTTGTGTTTAAACTGAGATATCTCATTGCCATTATATCACTGTCGTTATATACTACTTTATACTCTTATTCAAATATTTCATTTATGAATGTCATCTCACACTATAAGTTTCTTAAGGGCAGATAATCTCTTTCACACACTTATCCTGGGAATACAATAATATTCAGAGAAAAATGGATGTAAGAATTGATTCTAAATTACTTTAAATCTTATAGTAATTTAAAATTAATTCAATAACTTCCCAGAAGTTTATTTTGTACTTTGAGAAACTGAGGTAAGGGGCACTAGACTTTGTTCCCTGAGATCTCAGCTGTATCACACTCATCTTCGTATCTCCAGAGTTGAATACAGTGCCTGACAGATGAAAAACACTAAAATATTTAAATATTTAACTAAATTTCACTTTCTAAGGCCGCAAAGAGATGGAATCCTGAAGTTCTAGTCCAATTCTCCCAAGATTAGTACTTTGAAATGTTCTCTAGTTTCTCATGTTTGTTCACATATTCTTCCAGAATATACTATAAATATAGCAAACACAAAAGCTGTTCTAGCTCCTCTTTTTAAAGCTCAAAAAGCAACCATCACAGTATTGAGTGCATGCATAGTAGGTGGGCAATATTCCTATCAGAGTTCTTAAAAAGCAACATACAGGCAGCTCACAGACACTTCTTCCCTGCCCCATGTAAAAACATGTTAGTTACTCTTCCTATTGGGAAGATTTATTTTTCATCATCTTTGGCACAAATTCTAGAATGCTATATGCCAGGTCCCATGCCCCAATAAATATGCATCCACAAGCAATTATGGAGATAGATAGCTTATGGGGCGGGGGCACTCTTTGGTCAGGTCCCAATGCTAACCTGTGGTTAGTGGGAGAAAAAAAGAGTAGGGGGAGGGGTGTGGTCCTGTGATTAATCACTGCCCACTCTGCTTAGGGGTATTTATCACAGCCCGCTGTCAGGTAAATCACTGGAAAAACACCTCTTCAGTAATTAATGTGAAGTGACGGATGGACAGCCCCTGGGCCCATTAATCAGGAACATCAGCAGCCTACTGAGATTATGAATGTCAGGATGCATAAACTGCCGGTGGATCAATAGGCCCAGGAATTCATCCAAGGCTCTCATTTCCGAAGCATCTCCGGTACATTAGGCTCCCTCTACCCCTCCGCCAATCTGAAGTGAAAAGCAAGGTTTCAGAACAAAGAGCAGGAGCTGAGGTCTAAAGTGACCACTGAGAGAAAGCAGTCAAGGAAGCTGGCCATGGCTAGGCATGGTACCAGGACAGGTAACATAAGCACAGAGCTATACTGACGAAGAGGCTCTCTTAGAAGGTTCAATGTTCCTGCAAAACAATTAGGAAGACACGGTACACATCCAATTATTCAGGGCCTGACTGTCCATTTTAGAGATCATCAAGTTTCTTACTTCAAATTTTTTACCCATTTCCCCATCTAAATTTTCTTTCCTTTCATATTAACACCACCAAAGAGTAGAGAGAAATAAGAGGGAAAAAATTCCATTCTTGCAACCTAACACTCTAGGTAAAAATGTTGATTTAAGAGGTAAAACAAGGATTTACATAAAATAAAATCAGTGAATTATCTTTGCCTCATCCCTAAGTACCACAATGACGCAAATACTAAAAGTAGCCAGAGTCTTAAAAAAAAAAAAAAAAAAAAAAAAAGTCCCCACCGAAAAGGTCTGCTCCACTTGTAAAATAGTCTGGAGCTGAAAGACTATTTCTGTCTACTTGTCATCCCAAGTTTAGTCAAATTTTGTATGGAAAGTAAGCCTGGGCTAGTCTCATATTGAACATATTCTAGGCTGGCAGTGACGGGAAGGAGACTGCACTTGCTGCCACATCCCGCCAAACCCCAGTGCTGTGCTTTGTGGTCAGACTCAGGCCAGGGCTGCAATTGTTGGTTAGAAAGTATCTCAGAGTTACGGCTGCCTGTTCCGCTAAATCTCATTTCATCCTACTGATGGATGGATGGACAGATGGCTGCCTGGTGAAAGCAGCATTATCAGCCAGCTTCTATGGAGCCTCTGAATGATGGATAGCCCTCTTTCTACTTTCTCCAAACCACCATCGATCCAAGCCATATTTCAGCGGTCAGAAGCCCAGTAATATTAAGACACACAATCAAGTTAAGTTACTTGCAGTGTAAACCTCTAGAACAGAAATCCTAACACCTCTGCTTTGCTGTCATGAACCACTGCTAAAAATGTTACAGTTTCATTCTTTCTAGCTGCTAACCCAATGAATTCCAACAGCTCAAGCCCAAAGGGAACAGCTGGGCTCCATTCCTAGCAGCTACTTGAAAAGCTAGTTTGCCTGCCAAATTTTTTACTAGCCAGTTCATTTCTGTGAAATGAACTCTGCAGCAGTAGTGAGCAGATCTGTGAATATGTGATATCCCGTGGAGTGTAAAGCTATTAGAACCATCAAACATCCTAGAGTCTGTCAGTGATATAATCACTAGCCTCAAACATGTGTAGAGACTTAGACATACTAAACAGACCTTCTCTACCAACACCAAGGATAGTTATTAAAAACCAGGACAGATTAAAATTATCTTTTGCACATAATCCTAAAATGCTGTTTCTACCCAGTCAGCTTAACTGGCTTCTACCCTCTTGTGTACATATCAAATATAATAGTAAGTGCTAATCTTTGTCTGCTTTCACAAGCACAATTCTGTGTCCATTTGCTCTAACACATTCTAGACACTCATCTCAGCTTGTCTGGGTATTTAGCCTCCACGCCTTTCCTTGCTCCTTCCATGTTATCATCCTGAGCTCTCAGATAGCAACTTGGACTGGTATAATTGAATGCTGTGTCAAAGTTATTTCCCCACTGGTGTGGCTGGAAGAAATGGACTCTGACTCCAGCTTCATGACCACAGATTCCCAGAACCTACCCGCCCTCTTTTGCTTACTTATCCCCAAATGCCTTCTTCTCAAAATGTTTCACTATTAACTATACCCCAAATCAGCTTGGCCTGGCTCCTCCTAGCCTTGGCTTCTCTTGAATGAACTGCTGCCATCCTGAGCCTACATTCACAGAGAATCAAGCCTGTATTTGTTTATGAGGCTAACAAATCTCTCGGTGGAGTAGTAACTGTCTTTCTGCTTGCTATTATGGCAGTTTACTTAATACTTTAATATTTAGATCTTAACATCTATAGCTCTGCTTCTATCAAAAAAGAATATGCTACTGAGTAAAGATACTACTTTATTAAAGTGTTGCACTAAGAATCCCACTGCCCTTCAAATAAACATTAAAGAATTTTTACAGAGTTTTAGAATTAAACTTACTGAAAGGGATTGTATAGGTCAGAATTCAACATCCTAGTTTTTCAGAAAAAGACACCGAGAATCCAAGGTTGTAATTTATGTCCATGGTTACGACTGGAACCTTGGTTACAGTTATAAGGGCTGTGCTCATTCTACTATATTTCTCAAACATTCTGTTTTTATCCTTGGAATTTCAGAGAGAATGAGGGCAAGGAGGATTAAGTGTTGTGTGAGTGCCTATGTGTTCTGGGGAAGGAAGGTGACCACAAATAATGAAGTTTGGTCACCTATACTATTGTGCTTCCCATCAAGGTTGCCCAAAGGTCATCTGAGAGCCATTCACTATCTTATAGAACAAAACTGGATGAATACCTGACAATTAGATACCTCTACTCCTTTCTTCTTCTTTCTTTAATATCTGCCCCAGTCCTATACAGAAAAGTTTTGAAAAGACAAAACCAGAAAGATACTGAGTGCAAGTAGAAGCAGAGAGCAAAAGGCTTTATGACTTAACCTAAATGAGCAGAGGAGCAATGTGTCGTCTTCATTTCCAAGAATGCCACATTCTGATCAAATACAGAGCACAACTTCACTGACTGGACTTCACCCTCTGGTGGTCAAAATGTGTCACTGCTATTATTTCCCAATTTCTAAGCTTACCTCCATACGGATCTTCAATCTTATAGCTGAAGCCAGGCACAGTGGCTGACGTAGACAATCCCAGCACTTTGGGAGGCCAAGGAGGGAGTACTGCCTGAAGCGAGGAGTTCAAGACCAACCTGGGCAACACAGCAAGACCCTGTCTCTAAAAAATTAAAATAAGATAAAAACTTAGCTGGGCATGATAGTGCATACCTGTAACCCTAGCTACTTGGAAGGCTGAGGCAGGAAGACTGTTTGAGCCCATGAGTTTGAGGCTGCAATAAACTATGACTGTGCCACTGTACTCCAGCCTGGGTGACAGAGCAAGACCCAGTCTCAAAATAAACAAACAAAAAGCTTATAGCTGAAAAGAGCCTTCAAAAACCATTTGGTTGAGGCATTTATCTCAGACTATTTGAGTGGTAACTAAGACCAGAACCCAAACTAGCAGTTTTACCACGATTATAGCTGTATTTTCAGTTTTCAACCAAGTATATGCTCAGGATATATGCTGAGCAAAGTTTAATCAGGAAGTTAATTGTGCTGAAGAAATAATCATATAATGCACATCAAATCCAAATATATTATCCACACTAATGCTCATTACCATTAAGGATAAATTATCAGGATTACTTTTCCATCCCATTCCCCACAAAAATGTGTCTCATACACTGGACAAGACTTCTACTATGACTATTCTTGGCACCAGAAAAAAAAAAAAAAACATAAAAACAAAAAAAAACTTCTAACAATTCCCCCTCCCCCCCAAAAAAAGTTGTTACGTGAGTAATAAGGAATAACAATTCTTTAAACTGTTAGCTCTATATATTCCCTAAGCTCAAATAAAGGCTGATTTATTTACATTAAGTAAATATATTTTAGAATAACCAATTCTGTATACTCATTTGCAAAGCTATCTTAAACCAAGACAAAGATTCTTATCTTTCATTTTAAAAAGTCTTTTTAGAGTTTCTACTTAGTTAACTAAGAATGAACTATTAAACCATGCCCAAGAGAACAATGAGATATTTTTCAAAATCTGCTGCAATGAACCATGTCTAGTTATGTTTTCTGTTTCATTACAATTTAGGCCCTACAAGCAAAAGTGAAGTAGTGATGAGCAGTGCCATTAGTAGTAGTAGAAGAAGAGAAAGAAGAATAATCAGCTACCATTTACTGAGTGCTTACTATGTGACAGGGATTGTGGTAAATGTTGTATATACATTATATCATTTGGTTCCAACTATAGTACTAAGAGAAAGCTATGATTATCCCAATATTATACATGAAATCTGAAGCTTAAATAACTGAAGGTCACACAACTTCTAAGTGTTGGTTAGTATTTCAAAGTCCCTGCATTTAACTACTACACTAGACTGCTGATACTCAGCAGAATGGTCTCAAAATGATGTATTAATTTCATAAATATTCACAATTTGCTTAGAATCCATGTAACTGCAAAGCAACCAAAAAGAGTTCAAATACTGCTGCTGTAGAAAGAGAAACCCAAGTAAGATAAGAGTGAAAGACCTTTAATGCTTTCATGGCATGCCTATTTCCAATAACCTTCCAGACTGAGAAGTGCTAACAATAATTCACTATTGTCTCTGAAACTTCCTCATTCACCTTGCCTCACCCTCAAAGCCATATGGTAAAGAACCTCACCAGGTGTCAGGAGAGAACTCCCTCTCTTCTATTCCCCATAAGAATAATCTCTATTCTTCCTCCTACCAACTCCTCCAAGCATTTGAAAATACTGTCCTTCTCTACTTCCCTTCTCCAGAGGCACATTTCAACATGGGACCATCAACCAGTGAAACTGATAATACACTTCTCACACTGACAGAAGCTCAAAGTAGAATGCACGGTAAACTTTCATATCCTGAGTCTAAAACAGAAGAAACCTGTACGTCAAATACCAACTGCAAACGGTATTTTCAGATGCAATCTTAAACAGAATATAATACAGTGTTTTAATATTAGTCTGCCTTGGTCATTTATATTTATTGCCTCTGCTTCTCTGCCTGCAGCTGGACAAAGAAGAAACATTTCATGAAAAAACCGAGTATGAAGACAACAAAAGATACAAAATACATGATTCCAGTAGGATCTTGGAGGTCCCAAAATACATAAAAGAAGTAGCATGAAAAGGTCTTTCTCATAACATAACACAATTCATGCCCCCAACTTATTTTACACTCCACTGGCTACAGTCGCCATGCATCAGCACCAACTGATTTCACGCTTTACAGGCTGGGAAACACTCTGCAGCGTCGTCTCTTTCACACTCCACTGACATGGTAACCCCACAGCTCACCAGCTTAACTGCTCCAAGTTTAATGTTAGCACCTATTACTGACCACCTCAAAAAGCAGTCATATAAAAGCTTTAATATAACTGAACAATAGCAATATAATATGTAACAGAAAGGTAGAGAGAAAAGTTTGCTTCCTACTCTGCATATGTAACTGGTGGCAGGGGGCAGGGAGAAAAGAAAAAAACTCCCACCTAAAACTTCCCTCATTACACATCTGGAGGTTGGTCTGTTTCTACAGTTATTGGAAATTAGTTCCTCTCCTGGGTCTATTCTGGGTTTAACTGACATCCTATAGTTGACAATAAAGGAGCTCAAATGGATAAGGCTTTGGGGGCTTTACCTCAACCTTGACATGTATTAAACCTGATTTTTTTTTTCCTCTTTAAAATTCACAGAGAGAAGCTAATAAACCACTCAGTAAATTTTGAAGGTAGAGACCACCGGACTTAATCTCAGCTAAGCGCCACATATACTATCTCATTTGATACCAACTACAATACCAAGAGGTAGCTATTATTATCCCAACTTTACAGATAAGAAATCTGAAACTTAAGTTACTAAAGATCACACAGTTTCCAAGTGTTGAATAGGATTTCAAAGTCTCTGCACATAACTACTACATTAGACTAGAACACATGCCTTCTAAAAATTGTGTTGGGGTAAAAATGCATAGCACGGAAGAGTTTAATTTTTAAAATACCAAATCATAATACAACAAAAATGAATTAATTATAAATGAGGTAGGGTCTGTCTGTTAGAGACAGTTTCAGCTCTTTTTCTATCGCCTCCCTCCTTGGAGCCATACCAGCAAGTGTGAAATGTGTCTGGTGAGAAACTGAAAAACCAAGAGCAAGTTTCAGGCAAAGAAAGCATTAGCAACTTAATAAATTTAAGAGTTTCTCTTCTATGCAGTTTCAAAGTCTACTAATCGGGAGTTTCAAGAATAACAAATAATTACAATACAGTAACTTCTTCAAAACAATGTTACTTTAAGGAACAGAACGCCTGTATACAGGGCTACAGAAGGCTTTCAAAAAAGAATCATCTGCTAAACGAACATGGCTCAGGTATTTAAACAATTTTTATCTAGAATTCTTATGATATAAAGAGAAAGATAATTGTTAAAGATGGGTTAAAAACCAACAATAGGCAATGGCAATTTTTTTTAACCATCAAAAAATACTTATTAAGTGCACATATTATATTGACATCACTGCTGGGGTAGTAGAAATTATAAGGTAGAACTACAAGTAATAATATGGTTTAAAACACATGAGTTAAAAATGAATTGGAAATACTTTTTAAATGTTGTTTTAAGGGAATATATGCCTCTAACTGCCAAATAAAGAGAAAAGCAGTAAATGATAGAAAGCAGAGGAGAAAAATACCACTAACGGCTTGGAATGGGTGAGGAAAATGTCATAAAGTGGGTGGAACTGAGGCTAGGCCTTTAGAAGCAGATACTCAAATACAGAATTGAAGGGAGACATTACAAGTGGAAAGAACAGACTCAACATGTGAAGAGGCAAAAAGTCAGAAAGTGTTATTTTGGAGAGTTACAGAAACTAGTTGTCTTAGTTCAGGCTGCTATTACAAAGTACCACAGACTGGGTGGCTTAAGCACAACAAAAATTTCTCATAATTCTGATAGCTAGAAGTCCAAGGTCACGGTGCCAGCATCGCCTGGTTCTGGAGCAGGCCCTCTTCTAGGTTGCAGTGGGTTGAGAATACATGTGTGTGTGTATATATATATATATATATGTATATGTGTATATATATGAATATATGTATATGTCAGGCGTCCCCAAACTACGGCACGAGCCGCATGCGGCCCCCTGAGGCCATTTATCCGGCCCCCCGCCGCACTTCAGGAAGGGGCACCTCTTTATTTGGTGGTCAGTGAGAGGAGCACAGTATGTGGCGGCCCTCCAACAGTCTGAGGGACAGTGAACTGGCCCCCTGTGTAAAAAGTTTGGGAACGCCTGGTATATGTAATCTCGTATAGCAGAAAGAGAGCAAGCTAGCTCCCTGGCTGCTTCTTGTTTTTTTGCTTGTTTGTTTTGTTTTTTGAGATGGAGTTTTTGCTCTTGTTGCCCAGACTGGAGTGCAATGGTGTACTCTTGGCTCACTGCAACCTCTGCCTCCTGGGTTCAAGTGATTCTCCTGCCTCAGCCTCCCAAGCAGCTGGGATTACAGGCATGCACCACCACGCTGGCTAACTTTTTGTATTTAGTAGGGACGGGGTTTCACCACATTGGTCAGGCTGGTTTCGAACTCCTGACCTCAGGTGAACCGTCCGCCTCGGCCTCCCAAAGTGCTGGGATTACAGAAGTGAGCAACCACACCTGGCCCCTGGCTTCTTCTTAAAAGGGTAGTCATCTCATTCATGAGGGCTTCACCCTCATGACTAAATTACATCTGGAAGGCCCCACCTCCAAATACCATCACACTGGTGAGTAGATTTCAACATATGAGTTTAGGGAGAACACAAACATTCAGTCCCCAGTACTAGTCTGGGCTACGGCCAAAGGTTCATTGTAGCAAAGCTATTTACTTTGTTGTAACTATTTTCATACTGAAAGAAAGAATTGAACCATAACTTGCCCACATTAAATTCTACTCCACAATCCAAATAATATCCATAAATTCCTGCCTTGATGTCTGACAATGCTTGCTGTAGAAACAGTAACAGCTGATGGTATATGTACCAAATCAATCAAATAAACCACAAGATACACATCCATCTGAGATGAATGGCACAGCCATTGTGGATCTA